TAGCAATAGTTATTTTTAATTGTGTTGCTTCCATTTGTCTCAACTCGAAAAAATAAATCCTTTTAAATTGTTTGTATAATAGTAATAATAATAATGGCGGAATTGTTTGTTGCCAGAAACTGCAAGAGCATGTTTATGTTTAAAAAGCTGGATAACAAAAAAAATACTAGATTAGGTGTAGAAGTTATACATACATTAATATATATGTATCATTTTAAAATTACTCATCTTCTTCACATTTTTATTTTTATGTATTTTTTTTTAAATATTTTGTATTACATTTTCACGTGATATAATAACCTGACCAATAAACATAGAGATTTTAGTTTCACAAAAAAACCGATTCGAACCGGTTCAAAAACCGAACCGAACCTAAACCAAAAACCGGTTCAAAAACCGAGTTCGAACCGGTTTTTTTTAAACCGCCCCATCCCTAGTAGCAAGACCTTCACCATCAACATGTTTTTTAATAGTACGAGATATTTTTGTTCTATGAATATCAAGAATTTTGGCTATTTTGGAAATGGGTTTATTATTTTTGTAAAGACAAATAATTTCGCTACGTTGAATTTCAGTCAAAGCCAACATTTTTAAATTTTTTTTAAATTTTCAAAATATTTATTAAAAATCAAGCTTGTTTACAAAAAAAATTCATAACATCACATATGGTTATTTAAGATGCGTATTATCATATGTTAAAATTTCAGACGAGGTTATAATGCACGTTTTTATTCAATTCTTTTTTTTTTTGAAGTGGGAATATTTGGGGGAAAAAAATTCGGACCAAGTTTTATTTTTTTATTTATTATTTTTTTTAGAAACGTTAGAGAAATGAAAATTTGCATATAGATTAATAAGTACCTAGGTTACAAAACGACATTATTTTTTTGTATATTTATTATGTACGTTTTTATGCAATTATTTGTTTTAGGGTGTGTTTAAGCTTTATAGTTTTTTATTACACCATCAACATGTTTTTTAATAGTACGAGATATTTTTGTTCTATGAATATCAAGAATTTTGGCTATTTTGGAAATGGGTTTATTATTTTTGTAAAGACAAATAATTTCGCTACGTTGAATTTCAGTCAAAGCCAACATTTTTAAATTTTTTTTAAATTTTCAAAATATTTATTAAAAATCAAGCTTGTTTACAAAAAAAATTCATAACATCACATATGGTTATTTAAGATGCGTATTATCATATGTTAAAATTTCAGACGAGGTTATAATGCACGTTTTTATTCAATTCTTTTTTTTTTTGAAGTGGGAATATTTGGGGGAAAAAAATTCGGATCAAGTTTTATTTTTTTATTTATTATTTTTTTTAGAAACGTTAGAGAAATGAAAATTTGCATATAGATTAATAAGTACCTAGGTTACAAAACGACATTATTTTTTTGTATATTTATTATGTACGTTTTTATGCAATTATTTGTTTTAGGGTGTGTTTAAGCTTTATAGTTTTTTATTACACAAGCTTGTTTACAAAAAAAATTCATAACATCACATATGGTTATTTAAGATGCGTATTATCATATGTTAAAATTTCAGACGAGGTTATAATGCACGTTTTTATTCAATTCTTTTTTTTTTTGAAGTGGGAATATTTGGGGGAAAAAAATTCGGATCAAGTTTTATTTTTTTATTTATTATTTTTTTTAGAAACGTTAGAGAAATGAAAATTTGCATATAGATTAATAAGTACCTAGGTTACAAAACGACATTATTTTTTTGTATATTTATTATGTTTGGGGGAAAAAAATTCGGATCAAGTTTTATTTTTTTATTTATTATTTTTTTTAGAAACGTTAGAGAAATGAAAATTTGCATATAGATTAATAAGTACCTAGGTTACAAAACGACATTATTTTTTTGTATATTTATTATGTACGTTTTTATGCAATTATTTGTTTTAGGGTGTGTTTAAGCTTTATAGTTTTTTTATTACATGCTACATCGAAAAAAATATCATTAATAAAAGTTCGCCTGCATCAAGCCTATAATTTATTAACTTTGTATACTCATGTCCAACTTTGTAAATAGTTAATAATAATAGTAATAGTAGTAGTAATAGTATGGTTTTATTTTTCCGATTTCACATGCAATTATATGCAATTTGAATTAGATTTATCGAGACAATGAATTGCAGACCTTGATGATGGGAAAACAGATTGTGAGAAGGGATGCCAAGCGTGAGGTCGAGAAATGCAGAGCTTAAGGCCAAGTTCGTAAAAATTATTGAGGATATCAAGAAGCAGGCAAGAAATGATATTTCTTTTGAAACAATTGATACTCCCGAGAAAAATGCGACCAATGAGTATTCAAGTGATGGAGAAATTCGTTTTGATCATTAAAAATACACAGTAAATCTCGGTTTAACGGATAGTTTGGGCAATTAGGGAAATTTTTCGTTAAACTGAGAAATTCGCTATATCGAGAAGGTTTTTATTAAGGAACCGTTCTTGAACTTTTATTCGTAAAACCGAGATTTCCGCTAAATCGAGATTCACTGTGTGCTCGTATAGAATATTGAGATTTGTTTCATTTCTAAATATTGAAATTGTGGAAGTATTTAATTATTATAAAAAGGCATTTTTATTAGACTGTCAGAATTTATCAAAATCAGTGGAAATATTCAAGGAGACATAAAATTATTCAAGAGAACTATATATTAATAATTTATTTTTTGTGTTACATTTGCTTATTTTGAAGATTTTTAGTATATTTTTTGATAATGTTAAAGTTCCAATTATTAGTATTAATTAGTTTTACATTAACAGCATTTTTAATAACATTATTACCAACTATTCAAGCTGCAAAGGTTATTCCATTTTGTAAATGTACTTGTGGTGAAAATTCTACAATTTTTGCTCTGGAAGTAGGTACTCTTTGTTCAGAATGTAATAAAGCTTTTTGTATACAAGAAATGGGCGACGAATGTTCTGGCGTTAATAATGATGACTCTGGTAATGTTTGTGACATTCAAGCAATTGCAACATGTTTTGGTATGTTAATTTTAAAGAATTGGTCAACAAGAAAAAAAGAAGTGCCATAATTTATATTTTATTTTATATATAGAACGAGATTCTTACAAAGACGAAGCAATAGTTTATTTTTACATAATAATTACATGTGGTTTATTATTTGCAGCATTAATAAAACCTTTTATTGAAGAATGGTTAAAGGTTTGTTTGTTTGTTCATTTTCTATCCTATTTATCCTATATTATTTTTTCGTTGACGTCTAATACTAAATTATTTTTGATTTATTGCATAGAGAACTAATTTTTACTCATCAATGCCAAACAGTTAAAGTATAATAATAATAATAATAAAGTATATATGTTGAATCAATATATATTATTAACATTAATATTAGTTACCGTTTTTGTTTCACATTCATATAAGATAACCAGTCCCAAATGTATAAACTCATTACTGAGTTTGCTCTTCTTTCACTTTAGCCTTGACTTAGTTATTCAGGCTTCATCTAGTTAATTCAATTTTTCTGTACTGACTTTATTTAGCCTGGCCAGCATCTGGACCTTTTCTTTTGTTTAGTTTCTAATTCCTTAACTTTATTTTGTAGTTCCTGAATAGCATTTGTTTTTCTTGTTCTCTTTTTTCTTTTTGCTTATTCAATAAACCAATATTTAAATAACCAGGATTTTTTTTTCTTGTTCTAATTGTCTTTAATTAAATTACCTTTAATTCTTTTGCTTAAAATGCTAAAGTAGCAGTATTAATTACTTATTGTTTAGCTACTGAAACAGAGATGCTAAATCTTTGGAAAGTTTTTCATAACTTTGATAATACTGTTTTTTTTTTTTTGCACATTTTCTTTATCAAGTGTCTGTCTCCATATCATTAGGAACAGGATTAGGAGTAAGTGACACATAACATCTTAATTATTTTATTGCTAAAGATGACTTTATTAGTGAATGAATTATCATCAATTAGCAGGGAAGATCTTCTGAAACAACATCAGTAAATCAATTAATCTAGTGATATTATTATTATGTATAATTAAAAAATGGTTTTGTGTAAGCGTAAGGAAATTTATTTTATAGATATTTTTCACAAACATATTAGGCTGGACTAGAAGAATTTTGGATAAGATTAAAGAATTCAAAATCCTAACTTTAGATGAATTTCTTGGAAAACCTAAACCTATATATATTTGTTTCGGAATAAATATTACAGTCATATTAATCTTCCTTTATCAATTAAGTAAAGGTTAATCAACCACACACGAAAGATATGATGCAATAAAAACTTCATGATGGCCGGAGGGTTGTGGGTTTTATTGAAATTTTGTATTCGGGTCTTTTTTTTGAAGGACCTGTTGAAACCTCAATTATGATGTACATGTACTTCTACCCCAAATAGTCAACAAAAAGCCAACGACAAGTAAAAGGAGGGCAACAGAAATAGAAATAACATCAACCCTTCCCTTCAGAAATCGAGCTTTTTTGGAGTAAAGCTCCTTTAATAGGGAAGGGAGGCCAACAAAAGAAGGGTCAAATGTATTTTTGGTTATTATTATTATTCTGTTGCTCTTCAATATTATTATTACGCAAGTGATTTTTATTTTATTTTATTGAATCCGTCAAAAGATTGTGCACTGAAGAACCCAGGGACCCGAGCAGACTCAAAATTGGTTTTTGCAAGGATGAGAAATTGCGCGTCGCTTTTTTTTTTCATGCGCATGCCACGTCTCTAAGGCAATGCATTGTTTTATTTATTTATCTTCATATATTTATATAGTACATATTATTTTCCAAGCCGGCCAAGCCAACCGTTAAAAATTTAATAAGCGGCCTAACTTTTTTTTTATTATTATTAAAAAATTAAATATATTTGAATACTATCATAACAACGTTCTATTCGCTAATTAAATAAAAATAAAATCTCAAGTTTCCATTTTATCAACTTCCTCTTGTCCCTCTTCTTCCTCCTCCTCGCCTTCTTCCCCTTCTTCACTTTCTTCTTCTACACCCTTTTTAACATCAATATCAACATCAAATTCTTGATCACATCCCACATAAGAATCGGACATAAAATATATTCTCAATTTGTATTCGCCAGGTTTATTTGGACATGTAAAATCTAATTTGATTCTAAGCCGTTTGTTAAGTGTGATACGTTTGATGCCAAGTAATGAATTATCATTTGAAATACCAACTACAATCCACCACCCTTCATCTTTTTTCAACGGAAAGAATGGTGCAATTACTGGACCTATATTAAAATCTTCTTCGTCCTCTTCATCAATATCTCGATTCAATGATACTTCAATGGTACCCTGTGAATTTGCCACAAGTTCATCTTTGTCCAATAAAACATGGTTAAATTCTATATTTGGATACCTGTTAACATAACGAGCAACTTCTCGAAGTTGTTTATTGTTCATTTGAAGTAAACTGTTTCGATCATCATCGTCCAAATCTATAATATCAAATACTGATTCAATTCCCTTTTTTTCACAACGTTTAATAAGATCCGTTGTAAAGTATGGAATTTGTTTCAATGGTGAATCTTGATCCCAAATAGCTTGTACACACATTTGTGCTAATTCCATTGCTGCTATTGCTGGGTTAAGATATCCATTAGAACTAATTACATCCACCATTGCTTGAATCAAAGGAATTATCTAATAAATAATATATAAATTTATTTTTTATTTTTTTAATTATTAACAATTAAAATTTTTTTAATTAAAATCATAAAACAATTCTTATTACCTTTCCCAATACAATATTTTGATCAGAAGACAAATCTGGTGGCAACTGAGTTCTTGAAAAATGCGCTTGTAAAAGAATGTTGGTCTTTGTTCTGGTTGAATTAAAATCAGGATTTCCAAGTTTAAATGGAAGTCGATCATAAATCCTTTTTAAAACAATGTCTTCATGATGTCGAATTGGAATATAAAAGAATTCTTTGGCAGCTGAAATAATATCTAAAAGTCCTTTGAGTTTAGTTTTTTCCGTTAAGGCCTTAGAATATGTTTCTAAAGTTTCATAGCTGACATTGTAATAAGCTGCAATCATTCCCAAATTTAAAGGTGCCAAGTCTAACTCATCTTCGATTGTTATACATTGTGCCTCTGCAAGTTGAAGCACTGTATTTTCAACTTGGTCTGACAAATGGTCTGATAAATGTCTATGGTCAGATCCTTGCATATTATAATAATTGGGATTTTCAACCATACGGCGATACAAAAATGTCCATGTCAGATAGTCAACTGCATCTTGCTTATTTTCTATTGTTTTGGTGACTATCTCTGCATTGAAATGATCATGCAAAAAGTTGTGTAAATGTGACTCAACCGGTAATGCTTCATATAAAAATTTCTTATAAAAATCTTTTTTAATTCCTTGACACATAAGCACACAACGTCCTGTATCATCTTGACGTGGACGACAAGCTCGACCCATCATTTGAAGAACATCAGATATTGGATAGTCAGCATACATGTGTGATGTTCCTTCATAGTACTGAGTTCCCATAATAACAACCATGTGACAATTTAAATTCAAGCCCCAGCAGGTATCACGTGAAGCAACAACCACTTGAATAGCTCCACTCTCAAATAATTGCTCTACAATCCTTTTATCTTGTTTACTAAGAGCTTCATGATAATATCCAACGCCATGACTCAATGTAGCTGCCAATGCGTTATCATTTAGATTGCTTAGATGTTTTTCAATATCTTCGTGGTTGGCATGGAGGAAACGATCGTTTGATCCATCTGCTGCACAAAATGTAAGTAAATCTACAGCTGTCAGGCGACACTGTTTACGTGAAGGAACAAAGACAATTGCTGGCTTGTCTACTGAATATGTTGTAATTGCAACATATGTAGGTTTAGACATAGCCATCATTAATGATGCAAAATGTGGGATGTTGTAACTTTGTATGTGTATTTCTAAAGGAACAGGTCGAACACTAGGATGAAAGTTAAATATAGTGTGGGGCTTTGCCCCTATCCATTCTCCAAGGTCTTGAGCATTAGCAAGTGATGTACTCAGACAAATAATCCGAATTGAATTTTTAGTTTGATGTGCAATATATCTCATTCGAGAAACAATAATTTCATATGTTGGTCCTATATCGCTTCCAATTAAATGCAACTCGTCGGAAATAAATAGAGAAACTGTTTGAACATTTTTTCGTTGCTTCCACCTACGTGACATGACATCCCATTGAGTTGGAGTTGCAAATATTACATCGCCGCTTTCTAACAATCGTAGATCAGCACTTGTCTCACCAGTAAGTGATACTATGTTCTTTCCACCTTTAATCCTGCCAAATTTTTGTTTCCATTCAACAACCTGCCGATCAACAACCTCTTGAAATGGCGCAATATATACACATCGACCAGGATTTGGTTTAGACCATAGTCGGAGCAATGCAAACTCTGCACAAACAGTTTTTCCACTTCCTGTAGGTGCTCCAACAAATACATTATCATCTGAATTGTACAAAGCATTAAATACTTGTGTTTGAATAGGATTAAACTTATCAACCCATTCATTGTAAACGGCCTCATATTCATCATTTTGTAAAGCGGAAACAGGTAATGGTTGTAAATCAAGAAGTTCAGTGTGAGGAGGATATTTTTTTGGTAGTATCAGATGTTTAAATGAAATTGGCCATTTTGTTTCACAGTGTAACCACCTATCTGAAATAACAGAAACAAAATAATTTGGTGGTAAAGGTTCAAACAATGACACCGTTAATTTTATATAATGTTTATCTTCTGCATATTTTTGTTTTAGAATAAATAAATCATGGTAAAGAATAACCTCTCCGTCCACATCTTCAACTATAATCCAAAAGGCCTCAGCATTTCCATGAACCTTTTCATCCCATTGAAAATCTGGTTCAATTTCTAATTCAATTTTCAACAATGACCTTGTTATAGGCTGCACAGTCATGTCTAAATTTATTTTGGGAAATTCATGAACAAGTTTATGAAGCATTTTTCCAGCTTTAGGTACACCAATAAGTTCGCCCAATTCTTGAACATTCAAATCAAAATATCTTTCCCAAGGAAACTCTTTTTTCTCGATTCTTTTTATCATTTCCATTGATAATTGTTTGAATTGACGTAATGGTGTCATTGAAAGCCACATTCGTTTTTCCACCATTTTGCAAAGATTTAAAGCTCTCCTAGAGAGTTGCGCCCAACCGTGTTTAAGGCAAATCTCAAACATAGCACGAAGAATTCTGCCAGCTGATTGAGTAACATAAACCATATCCGATACTAAAGCAAATCCTTCTAACTTTAATGACGAGATATAGGCTTGTAATAATACATTAATTTTTGCTGTTGGTTCTTCAATTCCTTCTTTAACAGGAACAGGGACACGTTCAAGCAATTTTGACAATTCAAGTTTTTCTTCTTCACGGACCGGAATATATTTAAATTCATCAGATAGAGCAAATACACGGAAAAGTTCAATGTGGCCCATCATAGGTTTCAAATGTTGATTATAGGTCGCCATTGAAGTGTGTGTTATATAAAAATGTGAAGCTATACGGCCTAATTCGGTAACTTGGAATCTACCTGTTTTTTTATCATATTTGATTAAATTAGATTTGTCCAACAATAATGAAGCTGAATGAATTAAATCAGCACGTTTCTGTTCAAGATAAGGATCTTCATCCAAATAGTCTAGTGAAATGCCATAAAGAGTAGGATTACGTAACATACGAACATAAAGATAAGTATATCCCAACCATTGAATTGCTTCTTCACGGTTTCTAATAGTACCTAATACAATTTCAGCATTTAAATGATCAGCCAATTTGCTAATAAATTGACTTTCAATCGGTAGTTGTTGATTCAAAAGAGAGAGATAATATTGAAGTTCTGTGTGTGAAGTTATTATAATACCTTCACCAGTTGTATCATATTGTGGACGGCCTGCACGTCCCAACATCTGAAGAACATCCTGTGGACTAAGTTCAACCCAACGGCCTTTTTCAGGAGAATATATTTGTGTACCTTTGATTATCACAGTATGTGCAGGTAAATTGACTCCCCAAGCTAACGTAGCTGTAGATACAAGAACTTGAATATGACCATCTGCAAATAATTCCTCAACAAGTTTACGATCGATTCTTGTCATTCCTGCATGATGAATAGCAAAACCATAAGGTAACAAGTCTTGAAGATTTTTATCTTTGACAGTTTTTGCTTCATCGCGCAAAATTTCACAGCTAGCAGAATCTTCTCTAAGAAATTGACCTGTAGTCTGTTTTTCTAATGCCATGTCTCTTATTGTTTTTGCAGTTTTTGCAGTTTCTTTACGTGAATGAACAAAAACAAGAACTTGATTTTTTCCAGCTTGATCCATCACTTTTAGATATGTTAATTCATTCATGACTTGAAATCTTTTGATAGCTTTTTTCTCAGTTACACCTACAAATTCTTGTTTTAATGGGCATGGTCTAAAAGTATTATCAAAATAAAATAATCCTTTTTTAGGGTCTACATGTAAAAATGTTGCAACGTCAGCATAATTGGGAAGTGTAGCAGAAAGTCCAACCAATCGAATGTGTTCTTGAGTTTGTTCCATGTGGCGAATTGTACGAGCTACAATACTTTCAAGCACAGGACCACGATCATCATGAAGCAAATGCACTTCATCAATAATAATGAGCCTTACAAGATTAGTATAACTGCGATCCGTTGCTTTTCTGGTAATAACATCCCATTTTTCAGGCGTTGTTACAATCATCTGTGTCTCAGAAATTTGCTGTTTAGTGAGTTGTCGATCACCAGTTAATTCTGCAACTTTAATGCCATAAGATTCCAATCGACTACCAAAATTTCCAACCATTTCTTGTACAAGAGCCTTCATTGGAGCAATATAAACAATCTTAAACGAGTCCATATCTATTTTTCCAGTTTCTTCATCAATATATTTTCGAATTTCGTTAAGAACACACAGCATGGCAACATTTGTTTTACCTGCACCAGTTGGGGCGCAAAGTAATATATTTTCATCGTCACCAAATGCAACAGGGAATAACTTGCTTTGGATGCGATTAAGTTTTTCTGCTCCTGAAAAGGCTTTACGACTCCAGGCTGGCAATTCTGAAATTGGAATATATCTTTCATCAGCACCCAAAGGTTTAACTTTAGGAGCAGGTACATGAATTTCTTCGTAGCCTTTCATGGATCGTTTGAATGAACCATCAGGCAATTTACATTTTTTATTGGACATTAAGTGGCCACCTTGCGTAAAAGCTAAAGAATCAAGGTCTATAATAGCTTTGGGTGTTAATGATTTTCCAGTAGGTAATGAAGCTTTTATTGATTGTGGAACAGGGCCATGTACAATAGAAGGTTCTTGATCTATTTCCATTGCATCTTCAACAACACCTTTTCTTGCAGCACCTTCCCCTCTACGTATCCTTTCACCACCAAGAGCTTTTAAAATCCATTCTAATCCATGACTATGCATTTCTTCTTCGATGCTTTGACGTTCTGTACCTTCTGCACCAACTCTAGCCAATTTAGTACACCATAATATCAATTCTCGATTTCTTGTTAAAACTTTAACCAAATCAAATTTGTCATAATTGAACAATTTCATCAATTCATTTTCACAATCACGTTTATTAATATCTGAAGCAAGAATCTGCATTGTATTTGAAGTTTTTTCTTGAGCAGTATGTGGATCAGGGTAATAATTTGATATTAGACGTTGAAGCCAAAAGGCATCAATATCATGCGGAGAGATCTTTTGATCAGATTGTATACCAGTTATTTTCTTTGAATGAGTAATTTTAGGACCAATTACGGTTTTAAATACATCATTATTTTCTTCTTTTTCTTCATCTTCAGAATTTATTGCAGTGTGTTTATCATCACTAATTTGACCTACACCTAACACACCGCCTGTTTCAGCCTCTACACCACCTTCATCTTCTTCCTCGTCCTCAGATTCTATTTCATATTTTCCAAATTCGTCATCTTCCTCTTCTTCCTCGTCAAAAACAACAGCCACACCTAATTCATCATCAATTTCACCTGCGTATTCATCTTTTTCCAAATCCATGGCATTACCGCCATGATAATCTGATATTTTTTTTCCAAGATTTACTAATTGTGCAAATCTTTCTGATGAGATAGCTCCAATTTCAGATTCTATTTTTTTCTTTTTATCAAAATCTTTAAGGCTATCATCTTTTAATATTTGAAGTATGTCATCGGTAGCACTAAGAATAACATCTTGAGCTTGATCAACAAGATTCTGGTGCACAAAAGCTAAGATTAATTCATATGTGTCTCTGGTTTCTTTTGTTCTAGGTCTGTATGACAAACCGTCATAAGACTCAGTGGCAGCCAAAACATTTGAATAACCATATGCTTTTTTCAATGCACTACCAATAAATAATTATTTATTTTTTGTATTATTAATATTTTTAGAAAATCCTAAAAAATATACAGATATTCAACATCAATAATAATAAAACATACCTTTCTTCTTTTCTTCGTTCCCTTTTTTCTTCAGCTTCTGCAGCTTGTTGTGCCTTTTTCTTTTTTACTTCTAGATCTTTTATTGTACCCCGTTCAGCTCTTGAACCAAATTCTTTAGGATTAATTTTGCCCCATAAAGATTCAGGCTCACCTGAAGGTTCATGATCTCTACGAGGTAATTCAGATCTATTAGCTTGAAGTACAAGATTTGAGTTAGCTGTATATTGATATTGATTTCCTCTTGCAAGTTGTTCTGCCATTATATTAAAATTTTATTTTCAAAAAAAAAAAAATTATTTGTTATTTTTTGTAATATAAATTATGATTGGCGGATTAATAATCATTACAAATTTTTATTTTTTATGATGGTTATGCATTCTAAGATTCTAAGTAATTTTTTTATTGACACACCATAATATCACGAATAAAAAGAATAAAAATAATTATATAATATACAATTTGAATAATATAATAATGATTGATTTATTACTACATTATTCTAAGTGTTTGAAGGAGCTGGTGTTAATCCAAGTAATGCAGAAGAAGTTTCTGCTACAGCAGTGACATGAGTTGGAGATGACTTTATAGCTTCTTTAGAACCAAATTGTATTATTATAACTATTATCATAATAACAAGAAGAACAAATGTAATTCCTAAGCAAATCCACTTCTTTTTTCTTGCTTGAACTGCACTCTCATTTGCCTTTTCAATAAAACCTTCACCTAAAAAAAATTTTAAATTTTAATTTTAAATAAATTAACAAATTTATTCACTCATTCACTGAATAAATAATTACACATATTAATCATTACTTTGTTTAGTGTTAATCAAGGTTTCTTCAACAGATTCTTCAACACTTACAAGTACAGAATCTTGTTCTTCAACTTGTAAGTGCATTTCACGAAATAAATTTGCTAATTCCTCGATTGTTTTTTCAATCTGTTTTATATCATTATGACGTTTTTGAACTTCGGCAAATGCTGCATGAGCTTCGCCTGTATGAATCAAAGCTTGTTGAAAAAGGGGTTGACTTGATGGATCACTCAAATAATTGTCAATTTCACTTTGAGTTGCTTCCGGATTTACAACTCTATATTGACGTGCTGTCCTTTCTTTCTGTTGTCTCATGTAAATATCTTCAACACCACGATATTCTTCAAGTACATTGGTGAATTTCTCTTTGAGATATTCATATCTTTGTTTCCTAAGACTGACATTTGGATCATTTTTTGGTAATTTAACATTTTCATATTCAATTTTTTTGATACGATTCTTAATTTCAAAAAGTATATTTTTGGTATTTAATATAAGCTCTTCACGTTCTTTATTGCTACTATCCTCCTGCTGTATTGAAGTACTCACTAGAATATGTGTTTGCAACATTTGAATACGTTCAATATTCTTTTGAATTATGTTTATACTATATTCAATACTCGAGGTTTCCTCAAGAAATTGTCCACTGGCATTATAATCTTGTGACATTTTGTGTGTTTCCTATAAAATTTCAATACATGTTAATAATATATATTACTTTTACACCAAGATTTAAATAGGGTTTAGTCACAAATGAAAACCCCAATTTTATTTTTTTCAACAATGTATGTATTAGTATTAGTATGGTCTAGACCTCCCAAAACCGCGCCAAACTGCCGAATTTCTAAAATAACAAATACGGAAAATTTTGGTTTTTTTCCCAAATATAGAAATCATGTGAATTTTTAAATCATAAAAATTCTTATACAGCACGAATAGTGTTGGCAACTTGATTAAGTCCAGTTTTTATATTCATTGGACTGGCTGGACTGGACCACTTGATTAAGTCCAATGTGCTGCGGAGAGTCCAATTTTTTGTTGGCCATTGGACTGTTCCAATAATTAACTGGACTGGACTGTACTAGAATAGTCCAGTCTATATTTATTATTGATAATATTTATTTTATTTTATTCAGTTTAATTTCAATAATAGAATCATCTCATTAATTCCATCACCATTTGTAGTTGTTTCATTTTCTTCATCTTCAAAAGTATACCTTCAGTTACTAACATTCTTTTCCATAAAGATAATGTTGACTACCAATTTCCTTTATGATTATTATTTACATCATCTTCACTTACATCTTCACTTAAATCTTCATGATTAAGTTCACCATAATTGTGATTTTTTTCATTAAATTCAATCATATCAGTCTGATCATCCTAGTTCAAATTTGTGCAGAATTAGAATGATACATATTTTTAATCAACTCAAGATCTTGTTTTCTATGAGTTTGATTGATAATTCCTTGAATCTGTGCCATTTTAATTGCCCTTTTTATATTACAATAAAAAATAATTAATTAAAATGGAAAAAATCTCAATGTAGTGTCAAAAAAAACTTACATTAAGTCTATTTCTATGTGAAGAATGTAAAAATCCTGTAGAAGACCATAATCTTTAAATTGACACAAAGCTTTTCTTTGTCACACCAATCCCAATAATTTAATATGTCACCATTCCATTGATTCCAAGTGATTTCATTAATGGATATTGTTTATTTTGATACATATTAAACCCACAAAGTATTTTCACTGGCTAACTTTGATTCCATGCATAATATAAAATACTGAATCTGATCTGATCTGAAATCTGATTTGATCTGGAACCTGAGATCTGATCTGAGATATTATATATAATAATAATAATAATAAAATTATAAAAAATCATTTATGAAAGAAATTATGAATTAAGAATTTTTATCTGATCTGATTCAAAACAGATTGCAATTAAGTAGGATCTGATCTGGTCTGGCTTTGTTCTGATCTGGTCTGCTCTGATTTAAAACAGATTGCAATTAATAAGATCTGATTTGATCTGTTTGGAGCCTTAGATTTGAATCAAAATGAATTCCTAAAATTTTTTTTAATGTCATATTAAATTTATGTTGCTTTGATTTAATTAATAATAATATTCTTCTCAATATAACGGGTTTTTATATATTAATATATATGAAGCAAAAGTTTTAAAAATCTGTTACAACAAGAATCTAATTATAGTCCACTGTGACAAGGTTTGGCTGTAATTTAATAATAAAAAATCTTTTCTAATTACTAATTATCTACACTCTACCAAGTGGTCCAAGCGGTTGCGTTTACTTCATCAAAAATTATTTCATCAACAATCATTTTGTTGACACCCATTTCGTTGAAAGTTTGTTTCATTGAAAGATCATTTCGTCAAATGTTCATTTCATCAAAAATTATTTCATCCTTGAGCCAGAGACCAAACAAGTTAGATGTGAGGAGTGTGGGAAGTTAGTTAAGAAATTAGGTGAGGAAAGCAGGGTGTGTGGGAAGTGTGAGGAGAAATTTGTTTAATGAAGTTTTTTTTGTGATGAAACAAATTTTCAACAAAACGAACATTCAATGAAATGAACATTTGACAAAATGAACTTTTGATGAAACAAACTTTCAACAAAATGGGTGTCAATGAAATGACTGTTGATGAAATGAATCAGGCCCAAACCAAGATTGTGTATATTTTTAAATTTAAAATTTTTTAATTGATAAAGGATATTATTTAGTGATGGTGGCTGAAATTATTTTGAAAAAAGGTAGTTTTGCCAAATACATATAAGTATTTAATCAATCTACTTTATTTTAAAATAATTTCTAATTTCAGCCATTAAAATTAGTTTTAGGCCAATTAATGAGGCAATTTCAGTCCACTAAGTAAGGTCACTATCATATTATTATTGATAACAATATCATATTATTATTGATAACAATATCATATTATTATTGATAATAATAATGATAACATAATGACAAATAAAAAGTAATACAATTTACAGTTGTACAATTCATTAAATCTAAATAACTAATGAATGATAATAATTGCTATAGATTCAAATCAGTTCAAAAAAATCAAATCAAAGTACAATTTGAATTTGATTTAATTCAATTTGAACTGATTCAAACCAAAATTAGGTGATTTGATTTGATTTGAATTGGTTTGAACTTCATTGATTTGTTTGGAGCCTTAATTGATGTTTACCCATTTTTAATAAAACAATAATGGATTAATTATAACAATGATAAACAATTTAACAATGAATGATGGAACAAAAAAAGATTTTGGGAGATCTATAATCAAAATTTCAGACTGATCGGCATTTTTGAATAGGTATATGTAGGTGGTACACACCATAACCCTTGTTTCAACAGACAGGTTATAATTAATTATTATTTTCTCTACAAAATGTATATAATTGATGTTTCCATGTTTTCTTTAATTTGAATAATCGCCTAATTGAAATCTTTTGAAGTCATATAACAATGCACTTATCCTACGTCCACCAAACCATCTATTATCCAATTTTTGTTTGGCCTTCTCTGCAGCTACAACATACAAATAAATATATTTTTGTTATTAATAATAATTATTATTAATGTGTAAAAAAATGAGAAAACAATACGACAATGATGGTGATGATGGTGACGATGACGTTAAAAAAAAAAATATACTTATTCCATCATCATATTGAACAAAAATTTTCACTGATTCCTCTTCATTTTCAAATTCATGACCATCATCTTTACTAATATGAACTACTACTTTAACTACTTTGCCATAATTGTTACATTCATCACGAATTTCATCTTCAAGAGCATCATCAATTTCTGATGGGACAACCGCATTACGAATTACCAAAACAGGAGATGTCTAAAGAAATTATCATTGAAGTAAATTAAATAATTAAATAAATGATTATTGCTGTTATTGTTATCATTATCATTATTGTCTATTTACATCTCTTGCCAACTTCTGCATAATTGCATAACGTTGACTGGAAGTAATACTCATGTTTTCTTCTTGAGCAACTGATTCCACAGACGTTTGACTTCTTGATACAATATCCACCGCTATTTTTGCTGCTACATTTTGAGCTTTGGCGGTTGCAGCTATAATAAAAAATGATTATAAATAATAATAATAATAATATCTAAATTAAAATTTTATTATACACTATTTTATTAATATAATAAGTAATTAATTAAAACCTGCTGCAGACAGTAAAGTTGATGATGATGACATCCCTCCAAAAAGTGATAATGATGATGCTTGCGGAGGTGGTGGTAATGGTGGCGGTAACTTCTCAATTGACTTCATGCCTTCACTAAGAGGTCCACCAATTACTGCTTTCCTTACACGTAACATCAACCCTCCCAACTCAAAATTATTCATAGAGGTTACTGATGTATTAGCAGCAATTTCATCCTCAAATTCGATGAATCTATATATACATAGAAATTTATGATAATCATTGTTAATAATAATTTGTTTAAAATAATTTGTTTAAATGGTAATAATATATAAATGTGTGTATATGTATATTATTCTAAAATTTTAAAAATTTTGTTGCTTTTCGTCAAGGTAAAATTTCATTGAATATACTGAATGGTCGTTTAAGATCCAAATGAAATCCTGAATATCATTACAATCACCATCTTTCAATGTGCCCAGTATATATATAAACGATTTATGTGAATAAAAATAGAATAAATAAAAAAAAAATAGAAAAAATATAATATAGTATAATATAGTATAATATAGTATAATATATAATATCACACTATTGAAATAGAGTGCATAGAGTGCATAAATAAAAGTAAATGAGTTATAAATAGACTGTAATATCATAATAAAACCAACTAGTAGATCTAGTGGTAACAAGATCTAAAAAAATTTCATATTTTTTAAAAAAAATATGTATATATATATATAATATTAAAACCCTCCCAATGATGATTATAAAGATTTTATAAAGCCTATTTGTTTAAATCTTCATCATGACTAAAATCTACTCAAATAAGAACTTGACATTCCAATATTATATAATACAGAAATCTTAAACAGCAACAACAGTGTAGAATAATAATAATAAAAAATAAATCTTACCCATATCCTTTATGTTTTCTTGTAATGAGATCAGGCTAATATTTTAATAATAAAAATGTGAAAAAATATTAATTAACATAAACTCCCTTGATAAAGGTTTAAAAATAATTTACCATTAGAACACAATGTATAATCTTGCCAAATGATTCAAATATGCTCATTAAATCTCTCTCACTTATGTATTCATTAACATTTGAAACATATATTCGAGTCTTTGGTGGTGGCAAAAATCCTATAATTCTTTGTTTAGTATAACACAATATTCAAAATATCAAAACAAATATAAAATAAAATAAATAAATAAAATTTCAATTATCCTGACCAGCAGCTGTAGCAGCTGTATAATTATTTGGTCTACCAACTTTCAACTGTCTATTATTGTTATTATAAATAACAAAGAAAAAAAAATGCACTTGTTAAAAATCTTTGTAAATATCAATTAATATAATAATAAAACTAATAGCAATAATACCTTCCACCTAATTCGGCACCATTCATTGTTTCAAGAGCCAATGATGCACCCTCGGGAGTTTCATATTCAATAAAACAAAAACCTTTATGTTTACCTGTAAGTGGATCTAATGACATGCTGATGCTTTTTATTGTGCCAAATTGTCCAAATACAACACGTACATGTTGTTCAGTTAGTTCAAAATTAATTGATCCAACATAAATACGTGATAATACAGATATAGATCGAAGATCCATTATCCCAGATGTTAATCCCAGGTTAGAAGTTGAAAAATAATAAGAATCAATTGGTGGTGAGTCATTTCTTTTATCAATTGTTTGCAATAGCTATAGAAATAAATTTAAAATAGTAATTAATTTAGTGATAAATGATTATATTTTTATTTTTGTAATACAGCTGATATATTATTCTTAGAAATTATCAACATGAAGAAGACCTTCTCAACAATATATTTAACAGTAATAATTCATCAACAAAAAAATTTGATAAATTTTTATTATTGATTGACTAATGCTAATATTAAATCACTAACTAATGCCAATACTTGTTAATACTAAATGCTAACATCAATCTTATCATTTAAAGATAATTTTATTGATTTGAAAAAAAAAACAGATTTCATGAGAGATCTATTCATACCACAGTTTGTATTTCTCTTATGTAGGCTTTTGCTTTATCTAAAGCAGCCTTTTGTGATTCATTTAAACTATAGATGTCATCTATCTGAAGTCTATTACTAGATGGTTGAGAATTTGTTTCTGTGGAATTGGATGAATTTGGTGATAACTCGGGATTTGAAGAAGCTTGAGATGATGAATTTGTGACTTCTTTGGGTGGAGGTGTAGTATTCTCGTCAGATGAGGAAATGTCCATTTTTTCCATTTTTAACAATTTTTGTAAAAGTTATTTTAAACCCTTCAGTCAGGGATCTTTCCAAATTTGGAATGTGGCTAATACAACAATTGATCGACAATAAATGTCTTATTAGAGTATCACAAGACCTTCCTTTATGTTAGTCACGGGACATTGCAGATCAAGTGTCATTCAATATAAACGTTACATGAATAAAATTATTATCGTCCACTTCAAAAAAAAA